AGATGGAAAGGACCTTTAAAGGCCATGTGGTCCAACTGCCCTGCACTGCACAGGGACACCACAGCTGGATCAGGTTGCCCAGGGCCTGATCAGCCTGGCCTTGAAAGTCTCCATGGATGGGGCATCCACCACATCTCTGGGCAACCTGTGCCAGTGCCTCACCACCCTCACTGTGAAAGGCTTTTTCCCTATACCCAACCTAGATCTCCCCTCTTTGAGCTTGAAGCCATTTCCCTTGTTCTGTCACCACAGGCCCTGCTAAAGAGTCTGTCCCCTTCTTTCCTGTCACTCCCCTTTAGATACTGACAGCTGCCCTCAGCTCTCCCCGCAGCCTTCTCTTCTCCATCTGCACAGCCCCAGCTCTCAGCCTGTCCTGTAGGAGAGGTGTTCCATCCCTGGGATATTTTCTGGGGCCCTCCTCTGGATGTGCTCACACAGGTCTGTGTCTCTCAATTCAATCCCAGACTATCTCATGCTATACTTCTGGTACTAAAGATACCTGCTTATCAATTTTCCTCTCTGCTCTTGGTAAATCACAACCTGGAAATGACCAGCCATTTCTTCTGAGTGCCAAGGAAACAGCTTCAGCAGAAAAATTGCTCAATTCACTTTGTCAAACTGAATTTGCCAGCATGCTGCTGTGCTGGTGCCTGTTCAATGTCTAAGAGGCTGAGCTATCTGCACAGTTCAGTTTTTATGGCAGTTGGCTTTCCCTATTGCTTTCCCTATTGCTGCTCCTTTCTCCTGAGCCCACCCTGAGAAATCCTACAGAGCCCAGAAAGCCCCTTTGGGCAGCCAAGGCACGTTGTAACAACAGGGCAGCTCATGTAAAGGTGAACAACTGTGGTTTGGGCTCAAACCTTCATTTCAGTTATTGGAAAAGCCACCAACCTACCCATATACACAATTAGAGCACCGGTTCTTGCTTCTTTATAAAATCTGCACTCTAGAATATGCTGAAAATGGAGTCCTTGGATGAACAGGAAGTGAATGCCAAACAATTTTTATTTAATAAAACAGTTAACTGTAGGAAATTCATGGTATGTGAATTACAAAAATATTCTCTGGTCAGAACAATGTAAGTCTAATAAAAAGCCTACAGTTGCACCAAATTGCAATAAGAAATTACTGCTGTCATCCAATGTGGTGCAGTAATTGTCAGTGATACTGTCTTTTTCCATAGCAAGGACTGAAGTTCATGTTTGTACTTTGACTCACAGCTGAACTTCTGTTGTATAAAACAGACAGGCAAACTCTTGGGGAACTTTCCTTTCCCAGCTTTCTGAAGCTAGAAATAAACTGGAAAAGGTTGAGCTGGCAGCATGGTTTCTGTACAATACTAAAACCACAGAGTGAAAAGCAGACATCTCTTTTCAAAGCAGGAGGCAAAGATTGCCAGATGGAGGCTATACAGTTGGCATCAACACTCATAGTATTTCTGCTGGTTTTAAAGTGCCTTTTTCTGAGCCCAGTGAGAACGGTTCTTGCCTCAAGCAGGCAGGCAGTCATCCCTCTAGTTTTGCTATAAGTGCTTATAATAACAGCAGATCTGCCACAGGCATTTAGGGGAAGGGCTCTGCAATTATTACAGAGAGCATTAGCACTGGACCTTTGAGAGGACTGATGCTTAAACACAGCTCTGAGAGCTACCAGCAAACGCTGTGGCTGTCAACGACTCCAAAGGACAGAGTACTTAGAGCAGAGGTAACGTGGTGCAAAATGAAAGGTCCAGAGAAAGAACAACCCAAGGTCACAGACAGTGAATGCAGTTGTCAGAGCTGTCATCCTGGGTATTATTCATTCAAGATTTTAAATCTCAACTAAATATATATATATATATATAAAATTTTGAAACCTTCTAGAAAATCACCTCCATAACATTGTCAGACACTTATTTTGGCTACTGAAGAACAGGAGAGAGAACTACACAGCATTTGCAGTGTGAGGCATGATTAATACGTAACAGTCAAACGTACAGCAGAGACATTTACAGAAATGAAATATTTGAGATAGAGATACGTGGCTGAGGGAACACAAGACTGTTTAGAACAGAAAATAGTTTATTAGTGATGGATTGAGTTCGATGTTGCAGAAAACTTAAAAACAATACCCAGCAAGGACTCCCAGTGAACACAACAGATGTTGGGCACGTTTTGCATTTCAGAAATGTTACTCTGGTGCTTCAGGTGCTTCATATGAAGGACAGAGAGGAAAATTTACCATATTAAGGTTAAGAAAGAATCCAAGACCCAGAAGAGCTGAGCTTGCAACTCATGCTTTCCCCATAGCAGGAAATCATGCAGTTTCCATCAGAAATAAATGCTCCACTGCAGAAGTTTAAACAAGCAAACAAACAGGTGAAGAAGAAAGATCTCATCTCACAACAGTGGCATCTCATTTTGGAACCTCTGACGTAGTCAACATCGGGCTTTCTTCCCAAGAAACAGACCCAAGTCTGTTTTCAAAGACCCCATTCCAAACCACAAATGTATCAGGGTTATACTCACAGATAAGACAATTCACAACGGCCATGGCAGTCATGGATAAAACAGATCCTCATGGTGGTCTAAAAACAGCAGAGCCCACAGAATAAGCTCATTATTAGGATAACACAAAAACAGCTTCATATCATCCAATTGTCCTTTGTCCCTGCTGGTTGACAGATCCATGTGATCCTTTTTGAAGTGCCTTACATAATCTCACCCATAATTCTCTGGACAATTTATTAGCAGAGTCCTGAGGATACAGCCTGACAGGTTAGCATAAAAGAACCTGTACTGAATCCTCCCTGAGCTGTCTATCTCAGCCGTCACTGTAAGCAGAGTGAAATCTGAAATCGATTTGCTTTTCTAAATGGGAAAAGCATCAGCTTACCCCTCATTGCTTTTAATGCTGAAAACAGTGCTTTTAGGGCCTTGGTAGAAATGCTCTGTCAAGTGTTCCTGTCAAAATGCAAGTTAGTGCTAGTGTATAAACCATGAGAATGGCCTTGGTGGCAAAGATTAACTGGTGTGGTTTCTTTGGAAATATGGCCATGTGCAAAGCATAATCCAGCAGAGGTATCCAGTAGCCCAAAGGAGCCAGACAAAGCACACAGAAGAGAATCCCAAGAAAACTCAGCAGGAAAGACAAAGGATTGTAATGCACGAATTCACACCTTTGCTACAGTTGTTTCCCTGGGTCTGAATGCTCACAAGCGTGCTTCACCCCGCTATCAGCTTCATTCCTTAGCTGGGAAGGCTGCCAGCCAAATCCCACATTCTGACAATGAACAGATCTCTTCTGTGAGCAGATGGAGTAACTCCGAGCCTCAAAGAGTTCGGTTCATTCATAAGCTGCTCTTAAAATGAGTTCTTCACGTAGTCAAAAGGATTATCATCCTTAGGAGCCTGTGACCAAACTTAGAAACTTGGTGAAACAAAAATGATCAGGGGACTGGAGCACCTCCCCTATGAGGACAGGCTGAGGGAGCTGGGCTTGTTCAGCCTGGAGAAAAGAAGGCTGCGGGGTGAACTCATTGCAGCCTTCAGTCCCTAAAGGGAGCCTACAAACAGGAGGGGAATCAACTCTTTGAAAGGGTGAGTGACAGCAGGACA